AATTAGAAAAACAAAAAAAAAACAAAAAAAAAAACAAAAAAAGTACCATGAATACAACTAGAAAAACTCACTAATCACTATTAATACTCATTAGAACGTAATCTAATTTATAATTTACTCACCAATCCTAAAATATAATTCTCTTAATCCTTTAAACAAGCTTCAATTTACAATAAGATGTTTATTCATCTCAATTTAACTTTTGTTTTACATCGTAAAAATTAATTATCGTACATCTCTTAATTTATTTTTTTTAAGTCTAATACTTAAATCTAAGATCTTTTGTTTTATTAAAAAAATTATTATTAAATTATTTAAATTATTGTCATTTCAATTTAATATTTGAATTAAGGATAAAGGAGTTTAACAAAACAATTTTACCTGAAGTGAGTTTGGATTAGGAGTTTGAAAGGGCGAGAGTAGATGAAAGAATTGCCTCTTATTTCATTGATCAAACCCCAAGTTGATGGTTATATTTGCTGATCAATACTAGATATAAAATTAACATCAGCACTTTAATTTTCTAAAAATAAAATTAATCTTAACATAAATTCAGAGTGATATATCTTATTGAAGGTAGCTATCGCGATGTGCCTTGGTGGATTCCAGCTTTAGGTAGCGAAACAAAAACGCCACGATTTTTCTTTATCAAATTAGATGTCTTCATTGGTAGAGTAGGGAAGACTAGGTATCTAAACTCCAAAGTTTTCCACAAGTTGCTTATCAAAATAAAGGAATTCATCAACAAGTTGATCCACGTCAATGTCAATCCCAATCTCAATTCGCCTTCAACTCCAATGGAGACAGGAAGCTCAAGGAAAAGCACATGTACACAACGATAGATACTGCTAACGTCCATTCCATCTTAAATAAGACACTAATCATTATTAGTATTAATTTAAATTTTTTAATTTAATAAAAAAATAATAAATATGTATTTTGTTTAATATATTTTTTTATATTTATTTGATTTAGTTATTAAAATATAATATAAATATAATTTAATTCATGTAATTCATGTGCATTTTATATGTAGGATTATATTTTTAATTTTATTTATTTTTAATTTTAAGTAAAAATAATAATTTTTTAATAAATATACTATATAATATTTGTATATGAATTAATATTCTAATTTAATTAATTTATGCAATAATCTTAAACAGTATTCTCGTTATCCTTTGAAGTAATATTATAGGGATTCAGTAAAATTTAAAGTTCAACTCTTGTGAATAGAAAAATAAATACTGAGAGAATTTTTTCTCATTTGAGATCTAACACGATTCGATTTTAAATTAATCGAAATTCAATGTGACTTTTGAATATTAAGAGTTTAATGCTAAAAAAACTATTAAGAATTCAAACATACAAATTATTTAATTAAAATTTCCTAAACACTAAAAGAAAAAAAAAAAACCAATAAATCCAAGCCTTAGAATTAAGATATGGTACTCTCAACTCAAAACACAGATATTGTAAACTCTAGAAAAATCCACGCAAACAACAAAAAATGTTGGGGAAAGAGACCAACACTTTTAGCTGGCGCTCACATTGCAGTTACATACGCAATAGCGTCAACATCCAACATCAATTTATACAATTAACAAATAGTCTTATGCACTCATACATACAATCAACAATTACAAACACTAGCTCAATTAATCACACATTCTGGACATAATTAAGGAGTCATTGCATTATTCATGTATATGCTGAAGAGCCAAATCCATGGATTAAAGATTTTGGTTTCCTGCGCTTTCAAGACCGAGGGAAGATTGTAAATATTGTCTGTAGCAGGGTAAGGAGGTGCAACAAGAGCGAAGCAAGGAAGGAGATGAATGACCATGGATTGTTGAAGTAATGATGCCCAACTTTGCCATGCTTTTGATCCAAGGTGAACTGTATGTAATGCCCCGTTGATATCATTAAATAACTCTTTATAAAAGGACGTTTTCTTGAGAGAATCTTACATGATATCCAAGCCTGTTAAACAGGGGTCGCAAACTGCTGCATTATCACCCAAAAAATTAGTAATTATTCCTGGCTGGCAAAGCAACTCCACATACTTTTCTGTGTTCATTAGGAAGTTGATTCTCGAATAGTGTCAAACTAAAACAAGTAAAATCCTAGATAAAATCATATCCACCTTGAATAGTTCGTCATTAAGCCGCTTTTTACGATAAAGTTGGTGAAATAATTCAACAATCATTTCTAAAATGTCATCCATGGACTTGGTTCTAGGATGATTTGTCCGTTAAAGAAGCATTTTTAATAAACGAATTAACCTTGTGTACTTCCAATGCCATTAAGTGATCTTTGCCACGGTGATAAAGAACACTTATAAATTAAAAGATTACTTACAAATTAAAAGCAGCGGCAATAAATGCATTAAATCAAATGATGTATCAATTATTTTTCATAAAATTAACATTAGTATTTTTTTTTTTTTTGAACTGATTTTACAAGGGATTGAGATCGAACCTCAACCTGAAGAGGGGGGACCATGGTGACAATTGTCACTTGACCCGAAGAGCTCGGTGCAATTAACATTAGTATTTTTTAAAAAAAATAAAATTAATTTTAATATAAAATCAGAGTGATATCTTATCGAAGGTCGCTATCGCGAGGTGTCTTAGTGGATTCCAGCTTTATATAGGAAAATAAATACGCCTCAAATTAAATATCTTTATTGGTAGGGTAGGGAAGACTAGGTCCACACTCCAAAGTTTTCCGCAAGTTGCTTATCTAAATTAGGGAGCTTTTCAACAAGTTGATCCACACCATTGTCCATCTCAATCTCAATTCGCCATCAACTCCAGTGAAGACAAGTAGCCCAAAGGAAAAGCACTACATGTACCCATCGATAGAAACTTCTAACTACCAATTCAGCCAAATAAGTCACTAATCATTATTAGTGCTAATTTAAAGCTTAATTTAATAAAAAAAATAGATATACATTTGATATAATATATATTTTATATTTATTTTATTTTATTATTAAAATATAATATAAGTAAATAAATATAATTCAATTCAAATAGTTCTTATATTTTGTATTTATTATTTTATTTTTAATTTTATTATTTTTAATTTTAAATTAAAAATAATAATTTTTTAATAAATATAGTATACAACATATTAAATCATAGGGTATGTCAATCAGTATCCTAATTTAATTGATTTACACAATGACCTTAAAATCTCTTCTTCCTTTAAAATAATATTAAGGATTCAAATTAACATACCAAATATTTTCATTAAAATTTATTGAACACCAAAAAAGAAAAAAAAAAAACCATAAATCCAAGCCTTAGAATGAAGATATGGTACTCGCAACTCAGAAGACAGATATTGTAAGCAATAGAAAAATCCACGCAAACAACCAAAAAATGGTGGGGAAAGACCAACCCTTAGCGGGGCGCTCACATGCCAGTTACATACACATGCACAATAGCATCAAATTTAATAAATATATAATTTAAATCTCACTCTCAACATTAAAAATAAATAAATAAAGGAGTTCATCAACAAGTTGATCCACGTCAATATCAATCCCAAACTCAATTCGCCTTCAACTCCAATGAAGACAGGTAGCCCAAAGGAAAAGCATATGTTCCCAACGATAGAAACTGCTAACTACCATTTCATCTTAAATAAGACACTAATCATTATTAATATTAATTTAAAATTTTTAATTTAATAAAAAATAATAAATGTGTTTAATTTAATATATT